GTCTTTTTTAATATATATATATATATATATATATATATATAAATAAATAAATAAATAAACACCCGTTCACTGGCCAACTTGCTCCCAACTGTCCGGCTTGTTAGCTGCTGTGGCTGTTATGATGCGTTTCCACCGAGCGGGACGGGTCGGTACGGGTCGGGTCTGTTAACCATGATTTGGCGAGCGTTTCCACCGCAAAGAGTACCCTTACTTGATAGGCGTGGTATATGACGAAAAGTAGATTGACGTCATTCGATCGCGCGAAAACTGAAAGCTAACCGCAAACAACAATGGAGGACATAGAGACGATCCTGTTCTTGCTTCTTGATATGTGGCTGTTTGTCACAAGGAGACGACAATCTTTGTTTGAGCAAAGGCTACATGTTGCAAGTGTGTTATGTGTGTTGTCTCTCCCCTTTCATAGCCCAACACCGCAATTATTAAAACGAAGAATGTTTACGAGAGAACGGATCAGATTTAAGAACTTTTGTCGGAAGAAATGCGTAAATATGACCACTTATACAAGCAGTCATTGGCGAGTTGTATAAGCGGGTTGGATTCATGGAGGGAGATCGCCGCAAACGTCGGTTTGCCGGTCGAAAAATGCACAAAGTTGTGGAGGAAAATACGGGACAAATGTGTCCGCGATGAAAAGCAGCAGTGACGATGTACGGGGCAATAAAGTCTATGATAAATAAATAAACAAACCAACAACTTCCACACACAAAGACGTGACTCTCTAGGTCGCCATCGACAAAAACACGTTACTCCGCGTGTTGTTCGGGCGTTGAATTGCTGTTCAACACACGCAAGACTTTTAGAACCATGAATTGAAACGTGTGTCAACGCAACGACGCAGACGCATGTGCCAGCCTTTAGTGGCCGGCTGTACCCGGCATACAGTTTGATGGGTAATCTTATAAAATGTACAATTGTTACAAATTGTTGATGTGTCACAAACTGTTGTGCCGTGGTGTCTTACCCTGTTGAAGAGTTTGTTAGGCAATTAATTGTTGTAAAATGTTATAACCATGACCCTATACACATAGGAAAATTAGCTTTGACTGCTAAGCGCTCAGCAATGAGGTATAAAAATAATATCTGCAGCCTGCTGAAGAGCATCATCAGCTGTTACGGCTTGGCAGAATGTGAAAAATTCATACGGCAAGGAAATCTGATAACGGTGTACCCCAACTTTTTTGCCATTTTATTTCAGGCTTACAGCATAACCCAGCTCAAAAGGATGCAGGGAAACTTTGTTTTCTGTACCCCATTCCGGTAGTTCTGTCTGTTGAACCCATCAGCACATTTGTTCCTGGTGGAGAAGTTTAAGTCGGAACTTTCGACCTGACAGTCAAACTTCATTGCTTTTCCATTGTATCTAAAACAGATGCACTTGTGCGCAGATAAAAAACACACCACAGCAGTGGCAGAATCGCCTGGTTTTGACTTCTAGCAATATTTTAAAATATCAATGCAACAGATACATTTATTTTGGAGGCTCATTTTTTGCTTTTCCTTGTTACAAAGTTGCCTGTGGCTCAAGACTAAGCCATATTCATTGTAGCCTGTAGGGTAGAATCAAACACTGCAGGAGAGGTGGGCATTGCAGACCCCTCATGCTGGAAGAACAGCGCTTAAAACAAGAGCTCTTCGTAAACAACACCTTTCCTTGCACTGCCGCGCATTTCATCTTCTGAAATAAGCTAACAAGCTGCTGCAGTATACAAACTCCAGAGGTACTTAAAAAGTTATCTTGATGATGACAGCTGTGGCAACATTTTTGATCACAGAGGGACGACATTACCGGAGACGTGGGTCAGCGGTTTCACAGTGAAATGCAAACCACTGGCTATTTATAGTACCTCAGAAGGATCGGATTCTCGTACCATAGAGTTCTTCGTCTATACCAAAGACACTGGAGGGGGGTGATATACATGGTGCCCCATGATGACAGATTCATGAAAGACAGAAGGCTAGTAGCATAACTCACCTCAGATATAAAGCCAAGACTACTAGATCTCCAGGAGAGGTTACAGACCACAACAGGTCACCAGGGGGAGAACGCTAGCAAGCTCCACATTTGTGAATCAAATGCCCTTGGACATATTAGGACTTTGGCCAACGTCCAGAAAGATCCTGATCTACCCGGCAGTGTCCGTCTTGAGCCGTTAATCTGCACTCTGACAGTAAATGAATGCCAGGCCTCATTCACCTATACGTCCACTCACTTTTCCTAAACCCAAACCTCTAGTGATCTTGCCGATGGGCACAAGAGTCAGCCGTGGGCCTAAACGATTTGGCCCTGAAGCCCACCAGAGACCATCCTGCATAATAAAATAACAGCGCTGTGAATCAACTCCAATAGAAGACATTTTTTATTTGCCGACTGCTTTTTAAACCAGCGAATGGCAACAGTCAACAAGCTGTTCCCAGTAAATACCTTGCTTCACTGTCACAACCAAGATCAACAACACCCTCAATGGGAATGTTATGAAGCATAACAGGCCTTAGTCACGGCAATCAATCTACTAGTGACTTACTTTGTTCCCACGTCTGCACAAGTTCATTAAAAAAACAGTACGTTGCAAGGCTCTTTGTAAACCAATCAGAGCTCTGATGACCCCCCATCGCTCAGAACAGATATGAACGCAGCCAAGTGCCTCTGAGCAAATCACAGAAGGGGGAGACCCCTTTAACCAATCAGAGAAACTGGGAGGAGAGTGAGCCTACATGGCCGGCAACGTGATCAGAACGGAGGTCTTCATACGAAAGCGGCGGCCGGCCACTCCAGTGGCTCGTTCCAAGATACACCTCATAATAAAGGCATCACATTACAACACCACCCTCCACCCCAAAAAACCCTGCTAACAAAGTTCCTCGAATCTTAGCGATCGTGGGAATTTAACGGCATCCATTCTTAGTTGCTCGGGATGAGCGGAAAAGTAATACGTCGTTGGCAATGTGCGTAGGAGTGTCCCGGTGGAGCGGCCGGTCGGAAGCCGAGGTGACACGCGGTGACGACCACATGCGTGACATCTTTAAGCAAGCACCCCCTCCCTAGTTGAATGACGCAGGAAAATTAAACCATACGCCATTAATTTATAACAAAACTGAAGCGAAACACGCTATCATTTTAAAAAAAAACATCGGACAGCGTAAACTAAGAGGCGTCACATACATGTTTGCACTTCGATGTAACGTTGACATAAGATTAAAACTGTCTCAACATTAATGCGGGGGCAATAAAACGCGTACGCACTGATTAGAAGGGGGGAGGGTTATACAATAAAAAAAGGATCCAGCCCGCCTAAAGTTGGCACCGTAGTGGGTTGACATGGTAATTGAGCATTACAACCTCGCTCGAAATGCACAGTTGGTGAGCCAGAGAAAATCACTAGATTGACGGTCGGGTCGATGCAGGTTTCCTCCCTGGAAGTAGCTGTAGCTAGCTAACGTTACCCGTTAGCTATGAACAGGCTACCAACTTGTTGTAACGACGGTTATGAAATGACCAGCCACGGTTCTATCCCTCCCCGTAATACGCGAGGGAGAAACTTAAAATGTTATAACTGCCATACAACGTTTGTCTTCCCCTTCGTGAAGAATGAATGACTCAGCTTGGAAGCGCCGCTGTTAAAGGGGGAGGTGGCCATTTTCGAATGACTGTGTTGGCTAGCTAGCTCCCTGGTAGTAAGCTATGATGTCAAAATGTGGTTCCATTCCTAGCAAGCTAACGCTACCTAGCCAGCTAATCGAGCGCGTATACGCGCATGACTACATTAGGAAATAAAGCGTATTGGCCAAGAAAAATAAACCATGCTATCCATATTAACTGGTTACAAGTCAAGGAGGAATTGCAGGAGTGAAGCAAAGCATGTGGCCGGCGTTTCAGCCAGCGGTTCCATATGCTGCAGAGGACTGACGCGACACTCTGAGAGACGTTCAACACGAACCTTGGGATAGTACGGAGGTCCCCGGTTCCTTTGGTCTCATCCTGCCGAGAGAACCACACCTCCAACAGCTTCTCAGTCCCCTCGAAGAAATGTGCACTGTTATCTTCCATCGTGAGACAACAGATACCCAACAAAAAATATTAAATTTTGGTTGTAACGTTGACAACTTGATCAATCCTTCTTCGATCCGTTATAATTTATTGAGGTACAGTCCTTTAAGCAATCCAGGTGTTGATTTTCTTGAGTTACCGTCTTCCCTTTTGCAGAGAATACCGTTAGCGAGTGCTAGCTAATATCGCCGGCCATACTGTGTAAAGCACGGAATGGAGATGGCGCGGGGAATATATATGGTATTCACGCTGACGTCCGTATCAGGTTGGGCCAATCGTGTCGCAGGGCTCGTTAATCATATGCGATTGGTTTAAGGCCCAGTCACTCATTGTAGAAACAGGGGTTTCCTCACGTGACGTTCTATTTATTTTTTCACATATTATTGTTTCTGTTCACCAGGCCATAATACACCTAAGAGCATTTGCTTTACATAACAGTGAGATATGTTTATTCAAGACTGTTTGGAAACACAAGGCTATTTCACCGATTTACTGCATTAATACAGCATTATATTTAAAGCGCCAATGTCTTAGGCACATTTTTATGTAAACATGTACTTCGTTTTTATGTAAACATGTACGTGTGTTTTGGTTATCCACATATGAAATACATATTTGAGTACTACTCATTACTGCCATGTACAGTAGCACAGCCGTGTCTAATGTATTTATTGTAATCCATGTTGACATCAACAAATGTTTGTTGTTTTCACGAATACAATATTACCACACAGTAAGTACATGGGTTTTAGGTATAGGTATAGACAGTATATACTTTGAACCGTCCTACGCAAAACCTAACAAACCACAGCGGGAGAGCGGGCTGTAGTTTCCTACTTCCCCGCTAGAAGACTTGGTGAATCGCGGCAAGGGCTCAAAAGAACTACCTTTCCCAGCAACCCCAGCACGCCAATTAGAAACGTCAACGAGCCAGTGAACATTAAGCGGAGCAGACCAAAACCCCAAACAAGGAAATGGTGGGGGAATAAAAAGACCAGATTACTTAATTAATGCATGTAATGATTTACAATAAAATGAAATATTAATTAAGACGTATTTATGGATCGAAATGGATTACGACTTCAAAACAAAGCTGGCGGCCGAGAGAGAGAAGGTGGAAGATCTGTTCGAATATGAAGGTTGCAAAGTGGGTCGAGGCACCTACGGGCACGTATATAAAGCTAAGCGAAAAGACGGGTAAGATAACCATGGACGTTGTTGTTTGTGCTGACAGGGAGCGGACCACACGGTGGTCCTCCGCGCACCGTGGCTGTGTGTCATTTGGACCTCACCGGAGCGATAACCCTGTGGTGTGTCGCTGTGTTTTTGTTTTCATGTTACGCACTCACTCGCAAACGGTCCCCCTCTCCCGCCTTCCTTTTCGCGCCGCTACACACCGCGACTTCATCCACCGAAAAAACACACCAGTAAAGCAGTGGTGTCGTAGTTGAATCCGATGGGAACATTGGAGCGTATATTCGTGGGACGCCCCCCCGCCCCTTCCCACCATTGATAACACTATGCCCTGACCAAACTTTTTTCTTCGTACCCCCAGTTAAAATCTATTTTCTTTTCGATTTTATTTTGTAATGGTTTGCACAACCCATACTAAGCACGATGCCGTGCAAAGCACGTGAGATTACGATCTAAATACCAGCAGCAGGAAGATGGACAGCTGTGCTCTCCCATTTCTGCTCTGCTATCCCAGCCGAATCACACATTTTTTCTACAGCAGTACAATTGAGTACAATTGGCCGACATCCAGTTGATGATAGCAAGTTAATAGATAATTGTGACACTGTACTTTATTGTAGCATGTGATTAATACTGAATTTGACCAAAATAGTGCACGGATTGCTTATATATTTTCCCTTTTTAAACACTTTGTAATTTATCTGGTCTGTTGAAAGAAATCAAGAGTATAATAATCAGATCGTCGGAAATAGAGATGCACTGATCCCACATTCTAGATTGGTTTTGGTGCCTCTATTCTCTTAATTGCTGAAATCAGGTATTAGCCAGATCTGGCCAATATAATAAAGTTGACAGCCCCAGCAGTGCTTTACTTCTTCATGCTTTTTCATGTCTCTAGACAAAGTCATATAAAACCATCAAGAGATCTACTTGCTAGTTAGTGTACAAAACCAAAAGCACAAGACATTGAAAGGATGGGCAATTAGAAAACGTCACCTTTTCTGCAGAGATGAAAATCCTTGTTTTTCCCAAAGCTGTGTTTTGTTGGTGTTTTTGTTTATTTTACGCACTCACCCGCAAACAGCCCTTTTATGTCCGTTTATGTGCTCGCTAAAATAAACTAGAAGTGCTTCTGTCAGGCTGTATTTTTTATTCCCAGGCCGTAACTAAAGAGCTGGGAGGGATGGCACGTTCCTTGTGAAGTTAACCAGTCAAGTCTTATTTAAGTGCAAACTGAGGCCGCAAAACCACTTTCGGTCCCCAGTGCATGATGTTCCAAAAATTAATTCTCACACGTGCATGTGTTGAATGTTCTCTGCTTCACACAAAGGAGTTATATGTGACTTTAGGCCGTTGGTCCCAGCTGGCTGTGAAAAAGGGAAGTGTGCCGTAGACAAGATGTGACGATGTATCGTCAGTATTTTAAAGAAGTAGGCTGTGTTTCCATATGCATGCAATCATTGTGCCTGTGTTGCACCCAGGCCGATAAACAGTAAAGCACCAGTGTGAGTGCTGCTGCAGACATGACGTTTGCGCTGTTGTTTGTGCATGGTTATCAGGAGAGTTGACGTCATTTAAAAAAATCAAATAATGCAACATATGAAGATCCTATTTCTTTATTATGTTTTAATGAAAATCCAGGCTCATCTCAATTAATCTCTCAACGCTTAATACATCAAATAAGTTTTAATTTTTGGAGATCAGAAGCCATGTATTGCCACATATGTTACACATAGAGGAATTTGTCTTGGTGATTGGTGCAAGAAGTATGTTAAAAAGCTGCCTAAGAGTCCTGGAGGCAAACAAGTCTTAATGACACGCTTGCCTTGCTGTGGCTGCAGCGTACCAGACGGTAATGGGGGAGCAGAGGATGGACTCAATGATAGCGGTGTAAAAATGCACCATTGGCTTTGGCAGGTTGCATAGTTACGTCAAAGGCAATCTGGGTAGCCTTGGCGATCTGTCTGACATGCATAAACAACAAGGGTAACAATTGCTAACGCACACAACAATGATGGCTTTACATCACTTCCTGCCTCATTTTACATTGTGATGTTGGAGGCAATCTCGGTATCCATCGGCTATTGTTCAAACAGCGTTGCTTACTTTCTAGAGGCGGATTACCATCTAGAGATGGCAAACCAAAGTTGGAGTTGAGAGGCGGTGACATCAACAACTGGATTGCTTCCCAAGTACCCAGTTTTTTCATTTTAATAATAAACCAGCAAAAAGTAAAATCATTGTCAGACGTTCTCAGATTAAATTTGAGATCAATGCGTTCCTCCTTGATTTGTTCTCCACCCTCACACAATTGTTTACTTGCATTAAACCAAAGACTACTCAGAAAATAGAGCGCTGCAAAGCAATTTTGAAAATCAAGTCACTGGTATTGTAGGAAATAATTATTGATTACCATAAATGCCTTACATTCAAATGCAGTGTGCAAATACACCGGAAGTGTCCGCCATGATAAGCACTGTTTGAATTATCTAAATGCTAAGAAAAGAAGAAGAAAAAGTGGTTTAGGAATAGATGTTAGGAGGTAATTATTTTGATTATTCCAATCCTGAGTCTGTGAGAAGTAGTACTCTGGTTGTTTAGCCTTTGTGTTTTTTTTTTCCAAAAGCAAGACGACAGTCTGCATAATTTGGGAGGTGCCACATAACATTAATTTTTATATTGATTCAATTTGGAAACTTTTTGATAATTAATAAGGTTTTTATGTGACGATGCAGTTAATTCTCCAGTTGCAGACTGCTGTAAAATAGGAATAATGATTTAAATAGTACTAAATACCAAAAATACACATTTGTTTTATATAATACAAAACAAAACATCTGGATTTAGACTCTTGTTTTGAGAATTCAAGCAGTCTTGATTACAAAATTATGATCAATATTTTGTGGTACTTCGACAGTTTAATGAGCAAGAATTTTATAATTGATTAGTGGAGATTGCAGATTCCTTCCATACACACATTCAACATGTGAGATGACACAGCTGTCAAGACTCTTGAAGAAATTATTACACAGAATAAGCAACAACGGAGCGCATAAGGTTGAAAATAAAATCTGTGCGACCTCCAATAAGCTTACGCCTCTTTTTTCTTTTCATCCCTACAGGAAAGATGAAAAGGAGTACGCACTGAAACAAATAGAAGGCACCGGAATATCGATGTCTGCCTGTAGGGAAGTCGCTGTAAGTTCCACCTATTATTTTCTTTTATTCTAGTTATGTATGTGAGATCAGTTTTAAACATTAAGAAGAAAAGTTTGCATAATATTCTACTTTGCTTTCTTTCTGAGATAGCTTAAAATTAACACCTTCGGTCTCCTAATGTTCTTTAGGGATGTCTTTTTGCTGGCCAACCCCTAAGCTCTCTTAGTACTAGTTCCCTCCTCAAAATCTAAATAAAATATTGTAGACCGTAGATTATTGTGGAAAATAAAAGGGCTGAGAGCTCACTCCTACAGTACAATCATTTTACATTAAATAATGTAAAAGTGTGGTTTAAACTGTTGTTTGTCTAGAAACCACAATTTTCTTTTAAAATATTAATTCAAGATAAAGTTAAGCATAAAAACGTTATTTGAACTTGTATTATACAACTTTCAGACTGAACCAGTCTAGCCGTTTCCACATCCATAAAGTTTGTTGTTTGCTAATAAAACCTGGATGCATGCTTCATACTCAACGTGGACTTGTGAGTGGTGTCAATCTTACCTCCCTGCAGGAAGAAGCACACAAACATATTTATTTGCAAGAGAAAATGTGAACTGCAGATTGTAAAGTGACTAAAAGTGTTACATTTCGAGTAGGTAGCTCTTGCTTGTGATATTGTTTATTGAGGACTTCTGAACCGATTACTCTTATTTGCATTTGTTCACGAAAAAGTGCTGTATAAAAGAAATCCTAAAAGAAAGCTGTCTGCCCGATGGTCCACACCTGGGGATTGGGATACATTACAATAAAAAGTAAAGCCACAATTTAAATCTACACCACATTCAATCTCTCCCTCCCAGGAAGAAGCACACACACACTTATTCATTTGCAAAACAATGTGAACTGCAGATTGTAAAGTGACTAATAGGAAAGTATTTCATTTTGAGAATGTAGCTCTTGCTTGTGTGGTACATGTTATTGTTTATTGGGAATTCTGAACCTAGTACTTCTTTCATTTGATCACAAAACAGTGCTGTATATCTTGAAAGCTCTACGCTCCATTGACTGCATTAAGCTGGTGAATGAACAGAGACACACTCAATTTTCCTCTAAAAGTTCCACTTTCAAGGTCTCCGATCCAACCGCTAGTGTCGTAAGCAGGCCGTCCCACAACTGATTTGCCCTTCCCCCACCTCCTACACCTAGCCAAGGACCTGTCTTGTGCTGTGCTGTGGTTACCATCAAACTAGGTATCTCTGGGACAGCATTTTAGCACGGGGACAAAAAGTCACATAGCTGGAAGACAACAATGTTCCATGCATGAAAGGGGCTTCATAATAAAACAGTTTCTCTAGGAGTGTTGTTGCTAATCTATGCAAAATAAATGGGGAAAATGGGGGAGGTCAGCCCGCTCAGCTACTGTAGCTAAAGAAAGAATGTGGCTCCCATAGACATGCCTGCGGGCCATTACGTAATGGTCTCTGGTTTCCAGTGCAACATGTTCACCTGGAGTCACGCTAAGGGGCATACGGTGCAAAAACTGTCCGCGTCAGCGTGCAAACACACCCTGTAGTACTGAGCAAACCCTGCCGCGGAGCATTTTCCATGACCCTGAGCTACACTAAGATTTCTTAATTCTACATTCAGCAAGCTGAGGAGATTGCTTATCTTCACAGGTTCTTTTAACGCAAGTCATCCTTCAACCAAAGTGTGAATTCAGCGGATGGAAGAGCCAGTTTTCATTCTGTTTTTTTGAATTAGCTAGGGATTTTATATGCTCAAGCTTGTTTTGTGTTTGCAGCCAGATTTCCTCCAGAGTAAACCAGTGCCTGTCAGCAGATCATTTTCAGTATTCCCCCTCAAAACACAACAGTAAGCTTTGCAAAGTGATTGGCAGTGGGTAAAGGATACCTGGAGCACACATGCAAACACACATTCCTGAATTTCCAGTATGGCCGGCCAGCAGAAAAGGGGCCAAAGGTCAGAGACACAGAGCGAGTCACATGTGAAGCAACAGTGTAGCGAGCGCAGATATTGACTCTGCATGTTTGAAAGTATTTTCTCAAGAAAAAGATACAGTAGCAAAGCAGATGAACTATTTTGTAGATATCCTTTGTCTACTTCCACGACAACAGTGTAAGATGAACGTGGTGGCAGACTTAAGTTGTGGCTTTACTTTTATTGTAAAGTAAAAGCACATCTTACCATCCAGGTTTCTCTCTGTTCAATTACAAACAACTGTAAACTAGTCCTATTTATGCGATTTCTTGTTAATCCAACGTGTGTATTACCAGAAATATAATTTCACAAAAAATTGTGGTTTGAGGGGAACACACAAAAGTGTAAAAATCAATAAAAAACACAAATTTATCTTGTTTAGTACTGTAATAGTGAGCTCTCATCACTTTTATTTTCCACAATAATATATATACATTTAAAAAAAATTAGCCTTTAATAGTTAAGTTATGAAAAGGGGTCAAAATACAACAAAAGGTTCCTCCCAGTCGGAGTCTTATGTCCTAGGTCACTCGTTCTGTCGGAAGAGAGCAGATGAGAGGGGTGAGGTGAAGATAGTGTTACCTCCTGGCCTGGCTGGCTGGCTGCCAATTGGTTGCAGCACATGCACTGGGTAGTACACACCCTCTGTTACTTGGGATTCACCTCCTGGGCAGCATTGGCTTGGCCCCTCCCCCTGGCTGGCCACAAAATACATATATATATATACAATATATATATATATATATATATTTATTTATTTATTTAGTATGTAAAGCAACTTCCATAGCGAATGGAGAAGCAGGAAACAAGCGGCCTCCTTTTTTCTTTTTTTAATTCGTACTTTTGTTTGGTTCATTGTTCCACAGTAGTGTTTCGACAGGTTATTGAGCGTCCAGCTCATATAGGGCAGGAGTTCACTTTAATTTCGCTTCCTTGTGATGACTAACCTGCAAAACCTCTAATTTAAACACGCCAGACTTGTGTTTGTGGAGACATTCTAATCTTTATTTACATATAATCTTGGTGACTATATTTCTCCAGAAACTCCTCGATACATATTGTGGCAAAAAAATGAGACAGAACTCAAATTGCTGAAAGTTTTTTTTCTAAAAAGCCAAATGGGTTAAACAAATGCAGCGAGGTGTTCACACCAAACAAATCCAAAGACAGATGACAGGTCAGACGACTAGCTGAGGAATGTCACATTTAGTCTTAGAGTACATTGAGTCACGACAGGTGTTGTCTTGCATACAATAAGGATGGGCTGGTGCCAATACTGAGCTCTTCCTCTATGTTGAGTTACACGGACATCAGAGAATGTCAGGACTGTTGATTCACTTTGGCTTAAAAGCTGCGGGTGAACAATCGTCTCTTGTGTTTATGCTCATGTAAAAGCCGGCCTGCTTTTTGGTATCAGGCTGCTCCGCAGGGGAGCAGCAAATTAGAAGCAATGTGTTTTTGTCGTGGCGTTTACAGCTTCCCTTTTCAGATTAATCAAATCAGACCATGGCTATCTCTCCCGGGGCCGAGCAGATAGAACCGAACGGACAGCTAACAATTATTAATCATCTACCAATATCCACGAGGGCTACAATCTGCTATGGTAGGGGGAAAAATTATCGGATTAAAAAAAAGGATAGTTGAGAGAAAAACCCTGCTAGGAGAAAATGATCTTCTGGCCATGGATTGTGGAGCGCTACGTTATAAATGGCGAGGGGGGGCGGTGGCTGTGTCTGTGTGTCAAGAGCCATTTGGTGTTATGCATAATATTTGTGTGCCCTCATCCTCAGGTTTGTCCTTGAATTGAAGTAAATTCAGAGCCATTGCAAAGGAAAGTGTTTTCACGGTCGTCATTAATCTTTTCTTTAATGTTCAGACCAAAAGAAAAAGATATGCCAGGGTCATGTTTGTTCAGGCAATAAAATACAATCTAGGAAGTCCGCGTCCTAGATAGGGATGCACACTAACAATGAATCACCTACACAAGTGTTTTAAATTCTAGATGCTAAAATAATGAGAATAAGAAAAGAAATGACTACGCTTTTTAGGCGTGGGATATTTTTGTCGTGTGTTAAAGGATTTAAGGATAATGTATTCCCATAGTTTGACATAGGGATGCACGACAGTGTTCGGTTTTAGCCCACTTGTGACACAACAATGATTGTAAACAGCAGCAACAAAAACAATTCTCTGGGAAGATAATATAGCTGAAATCAAAAACATTGTCCATCAATTTGGACTTCAATCTGGCTTCAATCTGGGCTCTCCTAACCGGAACAGTTTGGTTGCGTTTGGTCCGGTAGACCTGGCTGGTTGCTCAGCCTCAAGGCTGCTGATCGTAAAGCCCACTTCACTTCCACTCTCAGCCTTGCTTGTCAGATATTGATGACTGTATTCTGTCATATGCCATTAGTAGTTAAAAAACAAATAGAGACAAAAGCGTTTTGCTTTTGTACTTATGATGACAACAATGAATGAATTAAATCACACAGAAAAAAGAAACTCCCTCAGTATTAAAAAGCACTCTTTTTTTTAAGTAGCTCATGTTCTCAAATATAGATCAATCCAGGCCATGGAAATAATATATTCAAGTTCTTTTTGTTGGTGGAGTTCCCCTTTAAGACCATGGAATGTGGATGCAGTCATGGGCCTGCATCCACCATCCATCCATGGGCCTGCAAGTAAATTCATCCATAACGTGTGCCAGACATGCAACCACATGTATCTCTGTTGCACATGTATTGTGCATGAGTTTAAGGACTACAGGTTAAGGTGGTCCCTCCCATCATTGTTTCCCAGCAGAGCATGCCTCACCTACCTTGTCTCCCCTGAACCGTACAGCCACCAGAACTGAGGTTAGCTAGAAAAAAAAAGTAAAGAACTTCTTGCCAAGCAGGACAAAGGACTCTTTGTGCCTCCCAAACCGCCACTTCGCTTCGTTTAGCAGACTGTGCAGTTCAGCAACTGGCATGCCACATGCAGTAGAATGGAGGCGAGAAGGGTGGAGGGAGGTTGGTTAGGCTGAAATTGTTTTGGGA